TATATATATATATATATATATATATATATATATATATATATATATATATATATATATATATATATATGTAACTTCATATATAATTTGACATAATTACGCATACAAATATATTGTACATATAGTTATATATAATTGTGTATAATTATATATAATTTTATATTATTATATATAATTATATATGGACAAATTTTGTATATAATTATGCATGAAAAGTTTTTTCATCGGATTCCATATACGTTTACCAAGAATTGTTGGTTTGATTTGTGTTGTTGCGTAGATATAATTATATTATAATATAGTTGCGCAAGGACATATACCGAACTGATAATTGTCGATAAACGTGTATAAAATACAGCCCCTGGAATTCCTCACTAGCGGACGGGACACCGTATCAATTCAATCACCGAAGCTTCAATAATATTCTTCGTAATACAAATGCTTAAAAACCGTGTTTTAAATCGAACTTAAATCTAAACGTCTTTTCTCCGCCTTATATCGATAAGATATAAACAAGTTCTGCTAGTATACAAGAATGAAAGAATTAAAGTCTCTAAGAGCGAATTGCGAGGTTGGTAGTACGAAATTAAATTTATACTACGAGAGACTAATAATATATTATCTTCCATATAGCACAGAAGTTTCAAAAAGCTTTCAGAAAAATTTCTGAAACATTAAAACCTTTTTGAGATATTTCTGAAATCTTTGAAACTTTTATACTTTGGGCTATACAATATTTATACATACTTTACGAAAATAATCTTCGGCGATGTATGCAATCTTTTGAGGCGCACCTGGGCATTTCACCGGCGAATTTGGAAATGTGAAAATCGCCGTTCCTGATTTCATTTTCTTGATTCTATCGTATACTTGGGTAACGGTGTCGGGTCCATAAATAGAGCAGACTTGCATGTTAGGGTCACGCAAGCTCTCTATCAAACCCGGAATCTGCCGAAGGTATCATATTAACTATCACTTTGTTGTTATATAATCCAATTATATACACTTAATAAATATTATCTAATGTGTGTACTTTATCCCAATACAGTTGCAAACCCAATGCAACAACCATCATGTCATATTCTATAGTATCTCCATTATGTGTTAAAACTTTATTAACATTCGGCTGAAAACCAATGACAGAATCTTTCACCCATTTTGCGTTTTTTGGCAAAACATCCTTCATGTTTCTTCTTGCTGTCTTGAAAGAACTAATACCACCACCAATTAAAGTAAATAAGGGCTGATAATAGTGGATCTGTAATTAAAGCAAATAAGAGCTGATAGTGGAAAAGTAATATTCTTTAATAAAAAAAGGAGATACATAGAGAATGGAGAAAAAAGTCGGTATTCCTGAATAACTCAGAAAATATAAATTTTATAGGAAAATGTTTCAGACAAAAGTTGTAGGGTGTGTGTAAAGAGATCTATTAATTGATATTATTAGTTTGGATGATCAAACTAATCGCCAAGGTCAGAACAAGGTCACTTTGAATTCTTTAAATGAAACCTCGATATTTTATTGCATATTCTTGTAGTTTATCTCGAGAGCCTTCAAAAACATTATAATAACGTATTTTTTCATTAAATACTTTTTAAATAATGGAACTTGGAAGTTACAGTACCGCCCATATTAGCATTACCCACCTACTCACATATGTACGCACACACATATACCCACATAAGAGGTGTCAATCCAACCAAGCAATCTTCACATGGTACAATGCTAATGCCGGCTTGGGCAATGCTAATGGCCGGCGATACTGTAACTTTTAAGTTTCATTACTCAAAAAATACTTAATAAAAAAATACATTATTATAGTTTTGAAAAACTCTCAAGATAAGCTACAAGAATACGCAATAAAAAATAGGGGGTTCCCTTACCAAAGATCAAACTAATAATATCAATTTATAGATCTCTTTATGCCTTACAATTTTTGTTTAAAACAGTTTTCTATAAAACTTATATTTTCTGAGTTATTTAGAAGTATCAACTTTTTTTTCCCACTATATATATATATATATATATATATATATATATATATATATATATATATATATATATATATA